TAGATGCGATGATGCGAAAGACTCGCGTGTGGTGCCATGATTATTTGGAGTGATCGAGACCTCCCCCCGTTCCTTAGTAAAACAAACTCAACCGTAAGAGATTGCTTAGTCCTCCTTCTCCATCCCTCCTTCTTCCCTTCCACCTTCTTCCTCTCTCTCTCTCTCTCTCTATTTTTTTCTCGAGATTCATTTGTTATCTCCGAACTTTCTTTTTACGTAGACTCTATCTCTTTGCTCTGGTTGTCGGTTCCTTTCTTTTTTTTTTTCTCTTATTTTTTTTTTTATCGCGCGAGTCAGTCAGTCAGTAAGTCCATCCATTTTTATGATTCTTCTTCGTTCTCTATTTTTCCTTTCTCTCTCTCTCTCTCTCTCTCTCTCTCTCTTTCTTTTTCTGTTCAAAGAGATATACCGACTTCCATATTAAAAAGACATTCCCCATAGTCGGTATCCACGTAGATGTGTCTGTCCATGTATTTACTTACGATGGTCGATCCTTCTCGATCTGTACGTCGTGTTTGCGGGTCGAAGATTGAATCGTATACCACCCTCGACATAATGTTCGCTCTCGACGTAATTTTTTCCTATCTACGTTCCTTGTTTCTTCATTCGGTGAATAATCATCTTTCTTCTTTTGCGAGAATAAAAACTAAAAGAGGAAGAGAGAAAAAGAGAGAGAGACAGAGAGACAGAGAGAGAGAGAGAGAGAGAGAGAGAAAGAGAGAAAGAGAGAGGGATAAAAAAGGAAGAAAAAAAAACAATGTAAAAGAGAACGAATTCCTGATGACGATGGTGTCGGACCTTTCTTTGAAGGTTTTCCCATGGGGACGTTTCGAGATGTTGTCCCCCTTTATTTCTTTCTTTCTTTCGATTAAAACAACGCGAAAGTTCGATCATGGTATTTCTTTCAAAGTGCTTTCCAACGAATAGACACAAAAAAAGAGAATGAAAGAAAGAAAGAGAGAGAGAGAGGGGGAGAGTAAAAGAGATTGAGAAAAGGAAAGAGAAAGAAAGAGAGAGAGAGAAAGAGAGAAAGAGAAAGAGAAAAACTTTATGAACGAAATCGTAATAAAAAGCGTTTCTCGCTCAATATCGTTCGGCCAGTCGAATAATTTCTTTTCTAGTCGCTAAAAGATAGTATATATATGAGAGAAAGAGAGAGAGAGAGAGAGAGAGGAAAGAGAAAGAGAAAGAGAAAGAGAAAGAAAGGTTCTTTCAATTTCGAAATAAAATGTGACAGAGAATCGACGAAGATTCTCATTCGAACGTCCAACCGAGCGCTTATAATTTGATTGGCCGAGCAGTGGGGTAAAAAACGTGCTATTGAGATAGGTCAGTCCGCTGTGAAAATCATATACGTTAACCTTATTCTTTCTCTCTCTCTTTTTCTCTCTCTATCGTTCTTAATAACCCTTCGGGCTAAAAGTGACAAATTCATTTATAATACACATATATACATGTATACATATATCTAATAAGCATCAAGAGAATTCGTTTTTTATACCGTTGTTATGGTCTCTTTATCTCGTTACTTGTGTTCAAAACAAATAAACAAACAAACAAAGCAACCAACGAATGAACGAACGAACGAACGAACGAACGAACGAACGAACAAACGAACGAACGAACGAATGAACGCATATACGATCAACAAAAAATAGTATGAAATATATTCCAAGTCAACGTTTGGATAATATCAACGTTCAAAGATTCGTTATAAAGTATTTGAACAAAAAAGAAAAGAACGGAAACAAAAAAAGAAAGAAAGAAAAAAGAAATAAAGAAGTAATTCCTTTTTGAAATCATTAAAGTCAAAAGTTTAAATGGGCGAAAGTAAAGTCAAGAGAATTCATAAATATTTCGCCCGGAATTATTTCCCTGTGGCCCGACGAAAATAGGCAAGAGTAAATCGGACCGTCAAGAATATTAAATGTGAGAGTTTGCAAAAGATCTTTGTATCTCGTTGGTGATATCGAGATGAGAGAAGGCATGCCGTTGAATTCATTTTGAATATGTACATATATATATGTTCCTCGCTCTTTTGCGTTCATCGCGAATTGACAAACAGATAGATAAAGAGAGAGAGATAGAGAGAGAGAGAGAGAGAGAGAGAAGAGAGAAGTCGGTAAGTAGTCAAACTGTTGGAATGAACTTCGTTAGGTGTACCTTTATTTCGTGTTTGTACGCCGAACTTTGTTTTCACTTGCGTTTACACGGCTAACTGAAGGGGTTTACTACCCTTTGAATTGAGATTACCATCCCTCCTTCACTTTCACTCTCCATTGGTATTCTCTTTCTCTCTTTCTCTCTTTCTCTTTCTCTTTCTCTCTCTCTCTCTCTATCTCTTTCCATCTTTCATCAATCGTTTATTTCTATCATCTTTCTTCCTTTTTTCTATTTCTTTATCCTCTTGAGAATGTATTAGACATATAGATTGATAGGCAAACAGACAGACAGAGAGAGAGAGAGAGAGAGAGAGAGTTAAAGAGGAAAGCGTTTAAACGAACAATTCACAAATTCTCAAAGGTAAGCCAGAAATCTTACAAGCAGAATTCCCTTGGATCTCGATTTTGCGTACAAATTGCTTCGGCCACCTTTCAAATTGTTCTTTTCCTTTTCTTTCTTTTCTTTTTTTTTTGTTTTGGTTTTTTCTTTCTTTTTTTTTTAACACGTATCAAAGGCTTCAAAGGCGGCACGTCGGCCAAAGGGCATCGTTACGCTACCGATCCTCGTCACTCTAGGGAGAGATTAGGGTCAATTAGCGATCAAGTGGTATTACTGACTAGTCCGACATCGATCGAATTTCTCTCTCTCTCTCTCTCTCTCTCTCTCTCTCTCCCCCTCTGTATTTGTATCTGTCTTTATCTTTCTCTATCTCATTTCTACGTCTTTGTCACATTAAGATTCTATCGTTGTTCCTGATCACTTTGATGCTTCTATGCGACATTGATTTGACTCTCTGTATGCTTTAGGAATTTTGAATTCGAATGTTATACGACTAAGTGATCAATTGTAAACAGAATTCTCAGGATAATTAAGGATAAAGAAATAAATGATATTGGAAAATTTTGTAATCGATATTAATTCATAGAAAAAAAGAAAAAGTTCAAAGGATTGATTAAATATTTTGAATTGAAAATGAATAAGTATATATTGAAAAATACGATATCAAATATATTCGACGATCTAATATGAATAATAAGAATTTATCGAGATGAAATTCGAAAGGCGATTATTGTTAGTTTAATTTTATTTAAAATAATTTTATTTAAGATAATTCGTTATTTCATTTTCGAATACGTGAATTTACGCCGAAAATTGACGGATTAAGATGAATGACAGTCGACGGAACGACATGTTATGATTTATGAATGTTTCTGGACGTCGCGCGGTGTATATTCCGATAATTAAAAATTATATTCATATTTTGCATTCCAAAATGTCAAGAACAAAAGCGAACGAAGCGTTTGAATTTTTGATCGAAATTTTGAGCTGAAACTTTGAAATGGCGGAAGGTTGAAAAAAAAAGAAGGAAAAAAAGTAAAGGAAAAAAAATTAAAAAAAAGAAAAGCACAAAACTATACGCAGGATATATATATATATATAAAGAAAAAAAAATGAAAAAACGAATTGTGCGGTATGTTTGAAATAATTTTTAAAAAATTTTCTCGAAGGCAAGGAAGTAACACAAATTTTTCCCTCTCTTTATAAAAAATTTCTCAATCTAGAACATAAAACGTTGTTGTACACTACTGTTTTTTTTTTTGTTCGTATTAATATTACGTGTAAGTACACATAGGTATACTTTAAGCGAGCGCTGATATATAAAACCACCGTCGGTAGCACGCTGTTGTAGTCTTCATTACCAAGGATGATATATAACCATAGCCCCGGAGGCTATGCTTTCGATCCTTCATGAGGAAGTTATAGCTTTATACTCAACGTTACACGATGATTTAAGATCATCGTCTCGATTAAAGCTGATTTTAGATCTATAAAAAAAAAAAAAAAAAAAAAAAAACAAAGAAAAACCTATGCCCAATAAACTATCAATATTTCATTATTTTCACAAAATATGATATAGAAAAAAAATGTATCGTTATAAGGAAACGATTTTATATTACATCGATACAAAATCAATCGAAAAATAATAATAATAATAATAATAATAATAATAATATTAGTAAAAGATATGAAAAATGTTTCATTTCAAGTTTACTTATATTTTTGGAATTATTTATTTAAATGAATTTCGTAGATTTTCAGAAGTTAAAAATAGGTAATTCATTAAAAATATAAATCGAATCGAATATTAAAGTTAGAGAACTTTATCTCGGCAAACCGTTAGGGTAGTCCCAGCGTGAACATTCTTTAAGGGGTACCATCATTCGGCAACGCTTTAGTTCGAAACCCTTGGAGAAGGGCAGAGTGCTCTGCTTTATCCCTGAAAGGAAGAAGGATAGAAAGATAGAAAGAGATAAAAACGACACGCCCCCTCGGTGTCAGATTTTATTTATCGCGAACGCTGGCTTTTTGTTTCACGCTAAATACTCGACCGTTTAAGAATAAGACGTTCCCCGATTTATGACCCCATGAGACTTACTCTCTGAGAGTTCTTCTTCTTTTTCTTCTTCTTCTTCTTCTTCTGTTCTCGTGAATCGTACTTTCGACTTCTTCTTCTTTCTCTCCCTCCTCCTCCTCTTCCTTTCTTTTCGTATTTCCTATATCAAGAATCAACTGGCAAAGAATCTTATGCATACCTTAGTACACTTTATCTTTTGTCTTTCAGTGAACTTAAATTCAAAACTGAAACTTTACATTTTCATTCTTTGTTCTATCTCTTCTTTATATATATATATATATATATATATATATATATATATAATATATACGTATATCATATATATATATATATATATATATATATATATATATATAATATAGTATATAATATACATTTTTCTTTCATCTAACGACAACCGTATTCATCTTATTCTTTTCAGATAAACGTGGAGACAGTAACTTCAACGAATTACGACTCCTCGAATCTCAGTAGGGACTTCAATCAGGTCGGCTTCAACACTTACAATTATTCCCAGTTCGAGGAGAAGTATAAGCCACGGCAGATCTTCAAATACGGAGACGAGTATCTCGAGTACGGGCGCAATTCCGTTCGGCTCGATTCAAATGCTGAGAGATCAACGGCAAGATTAACCAGTAGATATCAGCAGGACGGGTTGACTAAGTTCGAGCAAAGATATTCAAGGAGTCATTCGCAGACTGAGAGACAGCAGTACGCTTATCATGAAACGCGATCCAAATCACAGGATTCGCGAGAGTTGACATTCTATCATATCGATCCACCACCGAAATTGGAGAATCTTCAACAACAGCAACTTCAGCAACAGCAACAACAACAACAACACCAACAACAATCACAGCAACAATCACAACAGCAGCAGCAGCAACAACAACAACAACAACAACAACAACAACAACAACAACAACAACAACAACAACAACAACAACAACAACAACAACAACAACAACAACAACAACAACAACAACAACAACAACAACAACAACAGCCAAATAAATCTTATCGATCTAGCACTGACAAATCAGGTGGTTCAAATAAAAAAGAATTAACTTTTTACAAGATCGACGGACCTAACACAAACTTGGCTTCAACGCAGGACAAGTGTAAAGATAAATCTGATAAAAAAGATAGGAATCAGGAGAAATCACAGAATTCAAAACACGTTAAACAAAATCATCATCATCATCATCATCTGGAACAGAAGAACAATCCGGCAATACCACCAAATTATCAATTGAACAGATCTCAATCTGATTTGACCGAATGCCAATTACCGGATTACTATAGGCATCAGAATAATCCTTACATTGATCCACCCAAGTATCGTCAATACGACAGACCTCCGAAGTATCAAGAAACACCACCAAAGTCAGAACCACCACCAAAATATCATGCTGAACCACCGAAATATTCGGAAATTGTTAGACGTCAGGATGATTCGAGAAGAACGCAGGTGAGTTTACATATATATATATATATATATATATATATATATATATATAAGTGTGTGTGTGTGTAAGTGTTTTAATCGTTTATCGTATACAAAAGAGAAAGAGGTATTCTATTATTATATCCGTTTTCTCATTGGTCGAATACTGACCTATGTGAATGTTAGAAAAAGTTCTCGGGAGAAACACGCGTCAAATAAAAAAGTGTCTGTCGGCTGTTCGAAACCGGTGTGTCTAGAAAAATACAAGCAGCAGGTGGCTTCTTCGTACGTCCATTTATACTCATTCCTCTTTCCCGTTCACATTGAAATAGTTCTTTCTGTTATGGAAGTTTTGAACGAACGAAAAAATGAAAAATAAAAAGAAAAAAAAAAAAGAAAAAACAATTTATAATCATTTCTCTAACGTGTACGACGACGAACGTTCGCAACAAAATTAGAACGTTGTTTTCACTTCACTTAAATTATTTCCTTTTCAGAACGTCCATGTTCAACCCGTATTGAAACGAATTCAATTGATCGCTTAATAAAACTCTTAAAGAAACATTATTACGTTGTTATAAGTTAATATTAAAATTGAAATAATGGAAATAATGAAAAAATTATTTTGTCATAATTATTTTTATGAAATTTAATGATAAACGATATATATATATATATATATATATATATATATATATATCGTTATATATATATATCATATATATATATATGTGTGTATGTATATATGTTACGTTGAGGATTAATTGAATTATTAAATATTATCATGTTATAATTCTATATATAATATCTGTTATAATTTTTATTTTACATTTTTGTTTTAAGTTTTATTCACATTAAGTTTATATACATATAAAAAAGAAAGAGAAAAAAGGAACAAAATTTACGAAAAAACTAATGAATCAACTGTGTTACGTTAAGCAATATTTTTATTTCTTTCTTCACACTTTTCTCCATTCATATACCTTATAAACGTATTCTACCCGCATAGTAAATCCAACACGTGGTTGGTTGGTTTCTGACCCATTCATTCACGAATCTCGAGAACTAAGCCGTGTAGGAAGAGTTAGGAGCACATTCTTCTATGCAAAGGATTAATACGTTTCCTTGTCACTTGCAGCAAGAGGAGAGGACGACAAGACGTCAGGGTGCCGGATTAGGAGGAGCAGGAGGAGGAATAGGAGGAACAACAGTAGGAGGAGTAGCAGGGGGAGGGAGTGGTGGTATAGGTGTAAGTGTTGGTGTGTGTTTAGGGGTAGGAGGTGGAGGAGGAGGAGGAGGAGGAGGATGTAGTGCAGGGAGCACAAGTTGCGGCGGCTTGTGCTGTAGTAGCGGCTGCGGTGTCGTAGGAGGGGGAGGCGGAGGGAGGGGAGGCTCCACTCATGGCGCCGAGACGCCCTCTAATCTAGCCAGTATCACGCCGACCGCGCGAGAAGCAATACGTTTGCCGTCGGCTCGTAGCCAACGTTTCCAGCATAAGACATGCGACGTGTTGTTATTACGTTGTCCGAATAATAACAACAATAACAACAACAACAACAACAATAACAACAACAGTAGCAGCAGCAACAATAGCAGCAGCAGTTGCAACAAGGAAGATATTTATTGTGACAGTAGCGACGATTCGGAACTTTTATTGACGCCAAAGTGTCACGTTGAGCAATTAAAGACTAGTCATCATTATCACAGCCATTATAGTCATTATAATCATCATCATCATCATCATCATCATAATCATAATCATCATAGTTATCATCAACCAGCACAACAGCAACAACAGCAACAACAACAACAACAACAACAACAACAGATTAGATCGGGTTGCAGTGGCAGTGTTATTTTAAACAGTGGTGTTCCATGTGCCGGTGGTTGTTGTAGTAATAATAGTAGTAGTAGTAGTAGTAGTATTAATAGTAGTAACAACGGTGTTTGCGTTGGTGTGACAGGTAATAATGGTTTCAGTAGTGCACCTTCCCCATGTTGCGAACTAACCAGTACGAGCGATAAATATAAGAGTGCCGTGGAGTCCTTGCTGAAGGCCAACGAAGCGGCGCAAGGCCGTCCCGTTGATAGATCCATGCTGAAGATCGAGAAGCCACAGTCTTCATCCAAGGTGGTTGCTCTGCACGGTGTCGAAGGGACTGGGAAGTCGATGGACAGGATGAAATCCTCGCAAGACGTCGTAGGTTACGTTGGTAAGCACGAACCAGTAAAATCCAAGGGGAATCACGATTCTACTCATGGATTCAAGGTCGAGAATCTCAAGTATTACGGCGAGTTGAAGGGCTATGATTTTAAATCTTACGGTACGATCGACAAGGCAATCGTTACCGCTCACGAGAAGTCACATTTGCATGGTGCACCACAGGAGAAGCTTTCTCATGAGAAATGTCACGCGAAATTGTCGTCAGGTTCGACGTCCTCGGCATCATCACCGGCGATCCAGGCATACCTGAAGGTACCGAACGTCGTCGATCGTCAAGCTGAAAAGAGTCCCTACGGAGAGCACTATTATCATAGATCGTCACACTCCAAGCCGCAGAACGCGTATCAGGTTTATCAGGAGACGAAGTATTCTTACAACGTTAGTGGGGTGCCAGGAACACCGGCACAGGCCAGCGCAGCCGCAGCGTTCTTCGCAAGGTCAGTCTTATTACGTTTTACCGTTTCTTTCTTTCTTATTTATTCTTTTTTATTTATTCTTTTTATTCATTTATTCTTATACTCGTAGATATTCTTTATTTATATATATATATATATATATATATATATATATATATATATATGTATTCTAAACATCATCTGAATTTATTGTTTTACATATGTCCCTTTGATCTTTGAGGTTTTGCTACAAGATTATTTTTATTACATTTAAACAGATAACTATTGTATAATATATTACATCGTATACAAAGATTATCGCATATATATCGTCATCGTATCGTTAATTTCGATATGTCTATTATAAAAAAACGAAAAACAAATGTATATTAATTTAGATATAATTCGTCGTTTTGATATATTCGAGGAAAATGTGAAGGTAATGAAAAAGAGAGAGTGAGAGAGAGAAAGAATGTTGCCTTATAATCTTATAAAACTTAAAATGAAATCTTTTTCTCATAAAAAGATTTGACGCATGTATAAAAGAGAGTAGAAAGGTGAAAAGTCCTGCGTTAATTCTTACACGAAAGCTGTGATGACTTCCTTTTCTTTTTCCTTTTTTTTGTTTGAATCCGTACTTATTTCTTTCTTTCTCGTGAAAGATCCTTAGATCCTCTTCTTAGTGTGTATTTTAATGAAAAGATTTAGCGGACCGGTTTTCTCTCTCTCTCTCTTTCTCTCTCTCTCTCTCTCTCTCTCTCTCTCTCTCTCTCTCTCTCTCTCTCTCTCTCTCTGAAAAATGTTCAAAAGATAGAGCCCTCCTTAGCTGGAGCTTACGCGAGTTACCTACGTTATGTCTGAAGCTTTGATCTAAGGTACACATTTTCACGAGAACGGTGTTACTCGCGTGAGCGTAAATCGCATGTGGTTTAACGCGCGAATATTAGGGGAGGAAGAGCGAAGAGAAAGCTCTTTTCAGGATTGGTTCGCTTTGCCTTGTATAAAGCCTTAGAATCTTTTTCGTTTTAACTTTAGAACGCCTTAGAACTCGTCTCTTTAATAATCCTACTCTATTATATATTTCTCAAAGCTACATATATAACCAGACGGTGCATCTCCTTTCGTTCTATTACCTCGAAATACAGGCGCCCCTCCCCCCCCCCTGTTCGCCCTCATCCTTTCCTCCTCCCTCCCTTCCCTGAGCCTTTACCTCTTAAAGGTGACTACGCGAATTTCATGCGTGCCACGATTTACGTCAAATCGATTGATCATCGATAATAGAGGTGTGTTATAGGCACGATATTTACGTTTTTATAGAAATCTTTAATAAATATATTATTGTCTATAAAAATGTAAATAAATATATCCATGTATTTGTTCGATTGATTTATGAGTAAGTTATATAATAAAGAGTTATGATTATAATAAATATCTTCATAAAATAAATTAATTAAAATTAATAATTAAATTAAATAAATTAATTGATTTAATATAATTAAATTATTAATTATCGATCGGTTTTATATAAAATGTGAACAATTTTTTTATTGGACATTGTTTATTTTAAGACTTATTCTTTATATATATATATACATATATATGTATAAAAATATGTATATATCTACATACGTATTTATCTTTGTGTATATATATATATACACATATATAAAAATATGTATATATCTAGATATGTATTTATGTATCTTAAGATCAAATTTCTTTTTTTGATTGTAGGATCATTCATTAATTCATTCGATTAAAGAAATTGTGAATGTCTTTTATTTCTTTATTTATATTATTATTATTATTATTACTATTATTATTATTACTATTATTGTTATTATTATTATTATCATCATTATCTATTTTAGTAGAATTATCCTTTTGAGAAACACCCTATGTAACCATCCTAAGGTATAATCCTTCGTATTTGAAAGGACGTAGGAAGTAGATACATTGTGTTCCGGGATGGTAGGAAAGAGAGAAGAGGACAAGACGAGACACATCTTTGCTCACGTAGCATATGTTGTCCGGACGTATGGCGACATATGATCGTCTTTAAACAGTCGTGCCTCGGAGTCGAAACGATTTCAATGGTCTCGTGATGGTGGGACGGTGGCGCCTCTCGATCGTCGCTCTTATACGAGAGTTCTCGCGACCTTTCCTTTCTTTCTTTCTTTCATTCTTTTTCTCTTTCTTTCTTTCTTTCATTTGCTCCTTCGGGATTCTTTTGAATCGACGGCGTACGTTCACCGTCCGTACGTCCGTCCATACGTCCGTCCTCTTCGTCTTTTTCGTAGGAAGTAGTACTTGTGCGACAAGAATTGAAATTAATCGTGACTCGACGACCCCGACTAAACGCTAGACGTACACCATCTCTTTCTCTCTTTATCTCTTTATCTATCTATCTATCTCTCTTTCTCTCTCTCTCTCTCTCTCTGTCTCTCTCTTTCTCTGTCTCTCTCTCTCTCTCTCTCTCTTCTATTCTCTTCTATTCTATTCAATTCCATTCTCTTCCCATCTCTCTTTGTATAACTACTAGTTTCACGCACGCATCGAAGAAATATTCCCAGTGAGAATATCCGATAGAACGTGAACAATACTAAGGTGTTACATTAAAAGGAAACGTTTGAATATCTTTGACGTTAATTTGTCGCTTAACGCTAGATTATGCCGGCATTGATTGCATACCTATGTCGTATTTTTATCGGTATTACAAAGAAGTATTCGGTGTTGTTGATGGATGTAATTGTAAAATGTTTTTAATTCCTTTATCAAATTAATTCGTGTCGTCGCCATCAATCAAGTTTTGATATATGTAAATTGATAAAAAGAGAATTATTTTCTTTCCCTCTCACCTTTTTCTCTTTTATTTCTTTTCTTTTTTTTAATTGTGATTTTTGTTATTTACGCATAAAACGACGAAATTCGCCAATCTATGTTTTAATATATCCAATCTTCTGTTTTAGACAGTCAAATATTGAGAGGAAAATTTAAAATATTATTTTCATGGAGATATTACATGTTTATTTCATACATATATAAAAGTATAATTCTCTCGTGTTATATACAAATAAATATCTTTTAAATTATTGTCATTTGTTTTTTCTTTCTTTCTCTCTCTCTCTTTTTTTTTTTTTTTTTTTTTTTTATTTAATATGAATATAAAAAAATGATGTCAGATGTTTTTCGACAGTCCAAAAGAAAAAAAAAAAAGAAAAAAAGGAATAAAAAAAGAAAAAGAGAAAAAGGAATAAGAAAAGAAAAAGAGAAAGAGAGAAAAAGTAATTCGTCAGTTCCAACATACGTTCAACAGCCACCAGAAAGGGATGTGGTTTGTAATATATCTTGATGGAAATCGGTAACTGGATTAGCTTCACTATCCTTCTATCATTTTCTTCTTTCTCCATATTAAAAATTCTCATCTCCTGCTGTGCGGTGCTTCCCGTTTCTCAAATTCTTTTTTTCCCGAGATCGGCTCATCTTTCTCAGACTTTCTTTCTGAAATTTCCAATACTTTTAAGTTAACTCATTTTCTCTATTTCTCATGAAATATTCTAGAAGTTTAATGAAAAGTTTTATAAATTAAAAAGAAAAAAAAAAGAAAGAAAAAAGAAAAAAAGAAACAAAAAAAATTACATAATTAATAAAAAATATCGATTTATTATTTTTCTTCTATAATATAAATATATAATTGTTTTATTAAATATTTTTATATGGTGAAAGGAGTAGTAGAAAGTATGAAGAATCATTTGAATTATAATTTTATAATGAAGAAAATACAGAATATACATATGTAGAGTATATAGAATATACATACACGTAGATAGAGGTATATCTAAAAAGATAAAAATCGAATGATGAGATCGAATTATAGCGAGAAAGTAACGATTAGTAGACGATATTAGAGGGACTCTACGAATATATCCTGTAGGTCAGCGAGGGTTTGAACTCCATTCGTTCAACAGGTAGCGCTCTCGAAGTTGGTAGGTCGGCAGCACGCTCTTGGGTAGTACGAACGACCCAGCCCTCTCCATTATATTCATATCATGTAAATGCGCCCTACCGTTCCCCGTCCGCCTCCGATTTTCCACCCCCTGCATCTCCGCTCTAGAAACGATAGCGAGAAGAAGAGAATCTAGAAGAGAATAAGAGAAACGAAAGAGGAAGAGGAGTAAAGAAAGAGAGAGAGAGAGAGAGAAAGGGAAAGAGAGAGATGGGTGGAGGGAGGAAGAGGAAGAGAAGGATAAGACCAATCTACTCGTTTTCCACTTTACATTTATTCTAATGATATAAATGGTCGGTCGATCGCTTGGTCGCTCGGTTGGTCCGTCGATCGGTTGGTTGGTTGATGGTATCTCGACACAAGCAAACAAAACGATTTCATACATACTTATCGTTTTCGTAGTAAAGAAGACGATCATCGTTTGTCAATAATGATATTTTCCAGACAAATCATGCGATCGTATCCGCTCGTTGAAATTTTTTCTACGTACTCACTTTTTTTTTCCTTCATCCGTCGTCCTTCATTTTCTTTTTCTTGCTTTCTTTTTTTCTATCCTTTTCTTTCCTTTCCTTTTCTTTTCTTTTATTTTCTTTTCTTTTCACGAACATCGTTCAATGGCACGATGGACGTGCAGGTGCGTGGAAAAGGAGTTGCCCGTGCGTAGGCGTCTCACACGTAGGTCCTTTTTTCCTTTTCTTTTTCTTTTTTCTTTTTTTTTTTTTCTTTTTCTTTTTCTTTATCTCCCCCTCTCATACAACGACTATTAAACCTTAACGCATCGACTATTAAGTCAAGCGACGTCCGTTCGTCATTGTAATACCTACCTCTCGTGTCGCACGCGGAGGCGTTGTCTGCTATGAGAATATCCGAAATCACGTTGAAAGCATTTATCGAGCTTTCATTCTTTGGTTTTATTCTTCTTCTTTTTTTCTTTTCTTTCTTTTTCTTTTTTTTTTTTTGCTGGCTTGTTTCGCTCACTTCGATTAGCTCCTGCAGCGCGGGTGATTTATGAAAAAATAAAAATAAATAAATAAAT